ACTTTGAAAATAACAAAGAGTTGACTAATAACAGAACGCTGGACCACTGTGGGAGCATTTATGATGGTGGAAGTGCTTGATCCTTGAGACTTCGACGTCTTTCCTCGCTGTCGACTTGCTTTAGAGGCCATTTTGAACAGGGAGTGTCCATAAGCCTATTACGTATTTACGTTTTCACTTTTCATAATATTGCCATTGAATCTTTGACATGCACAATTTTAAGGGTCCAATAAATTTTTTTGAAGAACTTGGTCTTTAAAAAATCGATACTCAATCATCTTTAATATATCTTTTCAATTTATTTAGCATATCTTTTTACTCTGATTTATATATTATTTCTCTTCTCATTTCTGATTTTTTTTTTCATTTCATTTATTTATCCTTTTTGTATTTGTTTACTGGGGGCAAGATCAGTTCTTGGCCTTCCTTCAGGACAACTATCTTTTGTGCCTTAATTTGTTATTTTTTGTCTCAATTCTCTGTGTGTGTGTCCTGTAAAACTTTTATTAAATTAAATTAAATCAAATGATAACATATTGTCACATGTGTACTCTAATATCTATGGTGCAGGTAAGGCTTGAGCATATTAGGCCAGCATAATATTGAGCACACTAGAAATTAAGCATTATTCCGGAATAGTCCGTTAACTTCAACCATGTGACTTCACTCACTGGATGTTAAGGTTAATATGGCTGCCCATTTAGCTCCAAGCAAAGTGACTCTCTTGGAGACTATATACAATGTTCCTTGATGTTACAGTGTTATGTGTGATAAGTAACAATTCTTTATTACAAAAAATAATTTTGATAACAATATTCTAAGCATAATGGCATATATCTGAAGCACTAGAGAATAGCATAATGCAATGAAATGGTGGAATAATACGCCAAAGCCTACAGGTAAAATCATTTGACCACACCTACTATACCCACTATAAATATAAGTGAAGTTGAAAATTTTTCAGGCGCTTCGCGCACCTTAAGTATTCATTAATTTGTGTAAAATTTTCCTATCATCACAATATTATCATACAAAACTTAAAAATTGAAACATTTATTCACTCAGTGTCACTGGAGTGTGCATGTGTGTGTTGGTTCTGTGATAAGAATAACAATGAAGGGAAAGAAATAGAAAGGGCAGTAATAGGAGAAGATCCTTACATAAAGAAACAGAAAAAAATAAGTGACAAGACAATAATTAATAATAATAATTAATAATTATAATTTACAATAATGGTTCAATTTGATTCATTTCCAAACACTACAGAGAAAGAGACAAAAATTGTACATAAGCATAAGAGCTAGCTTGCAGAATGAAAATATTATCTTACCTTTCCAAAGTTGTAGGGAGCCTCTTGAGTGACCACTAGCAAGTTGGAGCCCAGTGGATGAATAACATAGAGATCTGACAGCTGATCTATCATCCTATGTAGAGTAGAGAGAGGAAAAGGGAGGGAGGGATAGAAGAGAGAGTATACATGTAAGTAACTATCATCTATGCTTGTTGATGT